CTCGCCAGGCCACCAGAAGAGCCATGGGGGAGGGGTAGCTAAGAGCTAGGCTCTCAAATACCCTTGGAAAGGTTCTGGGGAGCTAGTCAAGCCTGTCCTGGCACCTCTCCTCACCATATGCAAGTTTTTCCATTCAAATTCCAGACAGATGACGGATGGACGGAAGCCAGGTTGCTGGAGCCAATGTTAGGCACCTCCAGACTGAGGCCATTTCTAGGCCAGTGAGAACCCTGTCCCATGTGGAGTCAGGAAGGCCAAATCCCTCAGGACTGACCTGGCTCCAAAGGATCCCGATCCCTGTCCCTGTCCCCTAAGCTGTCAGAGGCAGATGCACAGGCTAGCAGTGGCCTATGGCTGAGCAGTGGTACACTGCAGCTTTGTCTTCCTGGAACCACAGATGCTGAGGCAGGGTGGGGTCAATGGTAAGGAAGTCCAGGAAAGCAGCTAGGACTCTATCTAGCACATCACACCTCTCTGCCCACCCTTCCCTATCAACACATGATCTCTGTTCAGCCCAGGGGTCACCTTCTGGAGACTTCCCTTCCTCCCCTACCCAGCTCTTTTCACTTGCAGTGCTCTCAGACTACACAGATTGGCTGGCCATCTGTCTTTCAGATATTACAGTGACCTCAGCTGTCCTGACGCTTGGTCATTTTTCTATTAAGTCCTCTTAGATAAGGAACTAGGGGCATAAGGGGCACTCAGGCTTTGCAGACAGAGAACAAGGGGGAGGATGTGCAGTCAGATGCTAAGAACCAATGGTTTCTTGCAGGATTTAGCAAAGACACTGCCCAGAGGCTGTGCTGGTGGGGCTTCTATCTGCCCAGTGGCCATGAGCCTGGACCGCAGCTACTTTAGCTAGCCAGCAGGGACATAGTGAGCCTTTCACAGCTTCTGGCAACTCATAGCATGATCGAAAGTCCAGATCCTGTGTCTCACTCGATAAGTATGCATCAATGTGGAATCAGAGGCACCACGGGTGCCCAGGGTGGTGCCCGGTACACTGGCAGTCAGTGTTGGCTAGTCTATGCCAAGAATCCTCATAGGCCTGGGACCCTGAACAGGATTGGGCCTGTGGCCTGGTGGGTGAATCAACATGCACATAAAGCCTGAAGTGTAGACAGGTATTAGGACTGTCTGAGCTGAAGGCCTCTGAGAGGGGCACTGACACATGGGGAAAGGTGGTGGTTATCCCTCCCAGACCCAGCCCATGATTGGCCTCATTAAAAGACAAAGATGGGATGGCTCATTGGTCTGGACCTATGCGTAGCCAAGACCCCCCCCCACACACACACACACTTTGAGTACTTCCAGCCTTCCCTGAGCTTAAAAGGGTGCTTTGCCGAAGGGGGGTGAAAACTGGGCAGGCCTGAGCCAAGGGGCTGGACACACTGGGGAAAGACAAGAGATTGAGGCAAGATGCATGAAGTTAAGAAGCTAAGGTGTGTGGAGACCCTAGGGTACCCATCCCCTTATCCTTCTCAGGCCTTTTAAAAAGCCCATCAACTAGCGCTATCTGTTCTTTTTGTTTTTTTGAGACAGGGTTTCTCTGTGTAGCTTTAGGAGCCTGTCTGGAACTTGTTCTATAGACCAGGCTGGCCTAGAACTCACAGAGATCCACCTGCCTCTGGCTCCTGAGTGCTGGGATTAAAGGCGTGCTCTGTTCTTATAAAAGGTCATAGGAGGGGGCATTGTGTGATCTTCCAACATGGCACAGCCAGAGAGAATTCTGTGAGCCCCGCCTGCCTTCTCAAGAATACGGATACAGCCCTGAGCACCCCCTTGTTCTGCCTAATCTAGGCCTCAAGAAGGCTTAATAAGATAGAAAGCCAGATGAGGCTGAGTCAGAGCGATTTCCTCTACGGGGTAGTCCACAGGCCACAGACCCTTCCTCGCATGTGTGTGCATGGTGTGCACATACGGGTGCAGATACCAAGGGCGATCACAGTACAAAAGGGCAACTGAGAGCCCCAGAGAGAACAAAGGGGTGCGCCTTAACTCCTAATGGGCAAGAACTGCTCTCTCCCAGTTGGTGCTAACAGGAAGGAAATAAAAGCACAGAAAAGACGCTCAGGTTAAGACCCATGGAAAGCCAGGCATGGTGGTGCACACCTTTATTTCCAGCACTTGGGAGGCAGAGACAGGCAGACTTTTGTAAGTTAGAGGTCAGCCTCATTTACATACCAAGTTCTAAACCAGTCAGAGCTACACAATGAGACACTATCTGAGAGAGGGAGAGACAGAGACACAGACAGACAGAGACAGAAAGACAGAGATCCATGGAGAGAGCTGAAGGCCTGGCACAAGGTGACTCACAGGGATGAAAACAGATACTCAAGAAATGGATGAAACCCTGATATTTACAGTGTCAGGTGTCCCAGGAGAGACTGCTGAGATGGGACTGGACTGCAGTTTATCAGAGAGCCTCTGGGGAAGTGTATCCAGGTTTCCTTTGTTTGATTTCAACCCACTATTTCCAATGTGTTTGTCTTGCTGCTTTGAACTTTGGGTGATGTTTCCCCAGGTTATCTCCAAAGTAATGTGTCAATTGAGCACATGAAACATAAATAAACTCTGGCTGTTGCTTTGCTTACCTCCTGCCTCAGAGTTAAGAGCATTGAAGAGGTGGGACATTGCATGGAGGCTTGGAAGAGGTTCCACAGAGGTTGATGGTACCTAGATTAAGGCTGTGTGGAGGCTGGATAGGTAACAGGACGATTTTCAGATCTCTCCAGAGTTCCACTGCAAGTACTGGGTATGGGAAACCATGGATGGGACTCACAGAATATATGTGAGGGTTTGGGATTAGACCTGCCCATACCTAAGCTTGCAGGGTAGCCATGAACCCAAAGTCCCTGCCTCCCAGACCTGGCTTCCTTTCCAGAATCCCAGTGCTTTCCCTGGAGATTTGCAAGGTGGGATCCATGCAGTCTTTGATCTCCATTTTGGTGACAAGCAAAAGTGTCTTTCATTCTGTCCACATGAGCTAGACCCGCAGGACAAGCAACAGGTGGGGAGTCTTGTGGCTGTGGGGACAGCCTCAGCTGAAGCTGACATTACTATGTAGGTATCATACAGGATGGTCAGCTCTTATCACATCCACAGGACTCTCAACTCTTACTCACTAGGTCTGTCCAGGCATGGCACTATAAGAAGATGCTGGCCCAGAAGTAGTGAATGAAGGTCTTTTATGAACTCCACTCCCTGGCTTCCACGTGACATGTCTTTGGCAATGTTTCAATGACAACCACAGAGATAAAGGAAAAGGATTACGGGGCCTCCTTGGCATTGTCTAGAAGGGGCTCACACAGACTTGGCTGTGAGTCCGAGGGAGGAAACTGCACTGGCTTTGCACTTGCTCTGAAGAAACCTGCCAGGTTGTAGTATAACACAGGCTGAACCCATGTCTAGAGTGTCACCTTATACTGGCTGCCAGGTGATGCTTGCTCAAATGCCCATAGCTATCCTTAACTACTAGGACCTGCAGGATCACCCTTGTTCCAGTCCCAAACCCCTGCCCACTGCTGACACCTGATCCCAGCTTTGGTCCCAGCTGTGGAGGAGTGTTCTTGGCCATGTGACCTTTCCAGAAGCTTCTGGAGCTTCATTAAGACCCATGACCTATTCCCACTCAAGTACTGCTTTTCATGCTGTGTCTGGCTGGCTTGGGATAAGATGGCCAGACCTCCTCACCAGGTAAGTACTGCCTAATATTTAAAGGCCGCAGAGGATAAAAGGGCTATGACTATGGGGGAAGTGCCACGCAGCCTTGCCATGCAGCCCATGACATGCCTGTCTTAACTACCACCAGAAATCCAAGAGTCAGAGCCACAAGATGACAACTGCAGGGAGGCCTGGCACCACTGCCCTGACAGAAAAGGCCCAGGAAGCAGCAGCCCTGCAGTCAGCCTCATCCACCAGCCAGAACTTGTCTGTTCCCATGATCTACTCAGGAGGACCAATAGGGGGCAGCAGAGGCCTCAGCACTTAGAGCACTGTCTTGTCCGTGGTACAACCTGCTAGAACAAAGGCATGATCCTCTGCATGTGGAGATGAGACATCCTGCTCTGAGACAGGTAGTACAATGCAGATCCAGGCTCCTCCATTTGAGATCTCCTCATACCTTCATTGGCCTCACATCTACTCATTCCCAGGGTCTAGGAGCACCCCCCACCCCTTTATTTTTAATCATGCTGCAGGTCAGCTCAAAGGCCTGAGATGCCTAAGCTGTCTTGAACAACCACTGGAGGCATATGGGCTGTGGGGATAATTTCAACACCAGGGCCACCTACCTCAGGGGTGCATGGCCATGTGCCATGCTTCCTGGACAGAAGAGGGATGTCCCAGCTGCTCTTCCCAGGATGTTATATCAAGATGGCCAGATGAGTCTGTTTCTTGGGGACATTCTTGGGACTCTATTTACATGTGTGCATGGGGGAGGGGTCAGGGGATGTGGCTTCAGGGAGCAACTGTGGCCCATGCTTGACCTGGATTGATCAAGCTGGAGTTGCACCTGGGGCCCAGGCCTCCCCCATGGCACGTTTATTCCTAGTTCTTCTGACTGTTGCTGATGGGAAAAGAGATGGCACCAGAATGAGGAGACAAACACACTGTGCCTCATGCTGGGCACAGGGATGATGAGACCCTCCTTGGCAGGGACATACTTAGACTTGTTCTCAGGTATAGACTTAGTCACCCAGTCACACAATGTCCATCTCCTCCTTAAATGCACAGATTTATCCTTCACCCATGAAATTTCTCAGGTTCCCAGAGACACCAACTACTGGAGCCTTCTCCAAAGTGCCACCATTTCTGTTCCTATGTCCCCTCCTTTTTGCCTGGTCTATTCTAGAACTGAATACCTTCAGTGGGCTATGTGGGCTGGGGCAAGATGTCTAGCTCCAATAACATATGGGTGTTTCTTCCCTACATGGGGATCCCTCCTGAGGAATGAGGCCTGCCAGCCATGGCGGGCATCCCACACACTCAGAGCTATCAGGTGAAAGGCTCCTTCCTTGATTTACTCACAGATGAAAATATTAAAACACCAGCAAAACAAAATTCAGGCTAATTCATAAGGCACTCTGTGCAGCGATGGGCTGAAATGGGTGTGTGTGTGTGAGCACACGTTCAGCCTGGCCTGGGCGTGCCTTCATCGACAGGGCTGTGTCCCAACACTAGGGTGCCACCCACAGGCTTCCAGACATGGTCCTCGGGACACAACCTAGCTCGTTACGTGAGTACTGGATCCTTGATGCCATGGTCAGGGTTGCAGGTAAAAGCAATGGTGATGGCATAGCGGGTGCCCCAGAGGACCTTCTCCACCCGGTGCAGGTTCTCAGAGCCTGAGGTAAAGAATGAGACTCGACCTGGAGGAAGAGAAAACAGAGGTAACCTCTAAGCCACACTTGCAGGATGAACACAGCAATGAACAGAACAGCACTGGACAAGATGGAGAAACCCTGACCCCCAACTGCTGTGACAAAAGCCAGAGGACTTAGAGAACTGAACCAGCAGTGCTGGGTGCATCAAGGGGGCACAGGGGACCCCCAGTCTTCCTCGCTATGGGGACTTTCTATTGTGGGGAGACAGAGGCTTGCTAGTAGCTTTCCAGGTCTGACAGGTGGGAAATAAAAACGGGGCTGGAGAGATGGTTCAGCAGTTCAGAGCACTGGTTGCTCTTCCAGAGTCCTCTGGGTATGATGACCAGCACCCACATGGCAGCTTCGGTTGGCTCTAACTCCAGCACTAGGGAATCTGATGCCTCTTGTGACTTCCATAGGCACTGCACATGTTTACAGACACACATGCAGACAAAACACCCATACATGTAAAACAGAAATAAGAACTGTTAAAAAAAATCAATCATGGAGGATAATCATTATTATCCTAGCAACCCAGAGAAGCATGTCAAAATAGATGACCTGTGAAAACAGAAACAGCCCCTTCCATGCAGCATCAGGGCTACTCAGGGCGACACGCCCTGGTCTTGGGAGTCCTTCCAAACTTCTGTTTAAGAGAGTGTTTACCTGTGTGAGTCTCTAAGTGGCCTGCACACACTTTTACTGTAAGTGCTCACTGCTAATGCTGCGCCCAGCTTTGTGGACTCCTGTGCAACACTGAGATGCAGAAAGGGCCGCATCTGACGCGCAGCAGGCCTTCACATGCTCCACGAAATGCGTTTCCCTTCTGGCCACTGCATTTCTTCCTATTGGGACTTGACTCTAAACCCTCAAAAAGGGAAAAAAGTCCATCTGACCTGCACCACATCCTAGTGGGAGGTCAACCAGAGAATGCAGAGCAAGGAAACCAAGTGTGAGGAGCCTTGGTGGCCCTTCCTTCCTCCTGCACCCATCAAGTACTGTGTATGAAGGGCCAGGCTTCCCAGGGTGTGTGGAGTTACCACTTTCTGAGCTCATGTGTTTTTTGTTTGTTTGGTTGGTTTTTTTCAAGAGAGGGTTTCTCTGTGTAGCTTTGCACCTTTCCTGGAACTCGCTTTGGAGACCAGGCTGGCCTCGAACTCAGAGATCTGCCTGCCTCTGCCTCCTGTGTTCTGGGATTAAAGGTGTGCGCCACCACTGCCCGGCGAGCTCATGTGTTTTTAAAGACATTTTGTCCTTGTTTCTTCCTTTGTCAACTAAACCTGAGATGTGGAAACAGGCAGCCTAACCTCAATGCACAGAGAGCCCCATGGAGGGGTACCTGAGATACTTGGTCCCCTCAATGTCCACCCTTTCTGCTCCTCCACAATGACAGATACACTTCTGTGTGGCAACGTTCAGTAAGAGAGGAGTTCCCACAGACCCAGACAGTCCTGTATGTCCTTCACACAGCCAGAGTACACAGGAAAAACAATGAAAGACAACAGTGTCTCCTGAGCTCGGGAAGACAGGAAACCATACACCAACTAGCAGGTTTAGAAGAGATTCACATTGGAATTAAAAAAAAAAAAAAGCTAAAAGAATCAGTGACCAAACATTCCCCCAAGGGGATGAAAAATGCAAATAAATAAATCAGTACCTCTGCACACCATGATCAAGCTGATGAAACAAAATTACTGAAAACCTTGAAAGTAGCAGAGGACAGGGGAAGCATATACAAGAGACATGGCTGGCTTCTCCTCAGGAGCAGTAGGAACTGAAATTTTTTTTTTTTTAATGATATTTTCTTGTGGGAGCCCGTTTTCAGGTTCCTCGTGGCTTTACCCAGCAGGTCTGCATAGAGAGGATGATTAGGACCACGGGCCTGAGTGCAGGTGTCTGAGATGGTCTGCACTTGGCTGTACTGGGGGGGAGGTCTTTTGCTCCACCCCTTGGCGTCTCTACAAATAACCTGGGGCAGAGACAGTCAGGGCCCATTGGAAAAGGTTCCAGGCCCTCTCGAGGCTGTCCTTTATTTTCTATCTGTTTATCTCCACAATATAAATCCTTCTATCTAATATTTCCTGCTGCTCACACTCAAGAAAACTCTGGGGAGCTGTGGGGTTGATGGGTAAACGCCCCACATTTTCTGGGTTGCCCCATGACTTTAATCCCAGCACTTAGGGTCAAGGGCAGGCAGACCTCTGTGAGTTTGAGGCCAACCTGGTCTATATATGGAGTTCTAGGCCAGCCAGGGCTACATAGTGAGACCTTATCTTTAAAAAAAGAAAGAAAAATGAATAAGATATTTTAATCCACTTGTTCCCACCCTCTCTGTCTCTTTCATGCTTCTTGGCTATGTGATATCCTTTACTAAGATACTGTAGTAAAACAGGCACTTAGGGGCTTGTCCATACTCTACACTTAGACCCATGGACAACTAAAAGCAGAATGAAAGCCTGACATCTCTGCCTCCATTTTGTGTCCATCTCCTTTACTTTGTGTTAGACTCCTGCTTGACTCTCTGTAGGCATGCTAAGGACTGAGGACTATCTCCTGACCATCTCATCCCCCTTTAGGCTAACAGCACAGAAATGTCATTATCCTAAACCTGCAGTCAGTCACCTTTTATGAGTGCTAGAGTCTTGTAGGACAGACCATCCTTCCAGATGAAGGTAATTGTCTAGGTAGGTGAGAGTGCACTCTGGAGCAGAGATGATGGCTAAAACAACTTCCTACCACTCTGGAGAACCAGAATGGAGACAAAGGTTAACCGTACCTAACCTTGTCCAAGACTGCTTAATTATGAACACCTCTTACCCTGTTTAAACCAAAGCTTATGTTAATACCTCAAAGATGACATGAGGTCACCAGACCCTTTATTTGCTGGTTAAATCCCTTCACCCTGCTTAAAAACAGAATAAACATTTCACTGGGAATATAGCTCAGCTGGGAGAGTGCTTGCCTAGCATGCATGAAGTCCTAGGTTTGATCCTGTGTACTGGATTAACTGAGCATGATGGTGTACATCTTCAATACTAGCACTTGAGAGAGAAGCAGAGACAGGAGAATCAGTTCAAAGTGACCCTTGGCCACAGAGTGAATTCAAGGCTAGCCTGAGGTATTCTGAGATATCTGAATGTCTATTTCAAAAAAAGAGGGTAGAGACAGTTCAGCAGTTAAGAGCACTTGCTGTTTTTGCAGAGGACCTAGGTGCAATTTCAAGCACCCACATGGCAGCTCACAACCATCTGTACCTCCAGGGGATCTGGTGTCCTCTTCTGGCATCTGTGAACACTTCAAGGACACAGGACACATACAATATGAAGGTTAACACACACATAAAATAAAAACAAATGGTGGCTCATGTAGAATCCCAGTACCTTAGCAACTGAGGCAAAAGGATCATAAGTTCAAGAAAAGCTTGACCATTCTCAAAAAAGAAAGAAAGAAAGAAAGAAAAAGAGTTGGGGGAATCAGGAAGGGCAAGCACATAGGACCCCTATCAACTCAGAATTTAACATCCAATGAAAATAAAATTTAAAAAAATGAGGGCACCAGGAAGTGTGATATTCATATATGATCTCAGGAGTCAAGAGGCTGAGACAGAGGATCTGAAGTGCCCAGTCAGCCTGGGCTACAGAGTAAAACCCTGTCTCAAAGCAAAACAAAACAATAAACAGTGAGATCCAGGGGTACAGCTTACAGTATAATGCCTGTGCTGCATTCATGAGAACCTGGGCTCATCCCCAGCACCAGGGGATAAAAGGTAAAATGAGGACACATTCAGAAACATCACTGCAGCCTCCTTGCCACAGGCTGAAGGGAGATACTCCCAGCTAGAAACCTGGATCCAGAAAGGGGTGGGAAATATTGGAAGGGATGAGCAGGGGGAGGGTGGGGGCAGGGGGAGGACACTCTCCTGCTAATTCCTGAGAAGGGATAAATCATTTAAAGAGAGGGGAAAGGATAACTTAATAACATACTATGGTGTTGATTTATCTCGTATTTGAGTAAAAGATAGGAAAATGAAAACACAAAAGTTATGGGAGCACTTGTAGGTGGAAGTGGGCCAGCCAAAACCTTGGTATTTTGCTTTAATTACTCCACAGATTCAATGCAACTCAAAACAAAATTTTTGCAGAAATTAGCAAGTAGACTCTAAAATTCGTTTAGAAATGAAGACAAAAAAATTGGCAGCAAAAACAACTTTTAAAATGAAGAATAAGGACTAATGCCACCTGTGTTCCGGGTTATAAAGCTATAGTGGTGGAGACATTATGGCATGTCACTCTGTGGGTGGGGCCAGAAGCATATGGACACAGTCTATGGACCTATGACAAAAGCTTCAAGATCACTTGATGGGTAAGATAGTCTCTTCAACAAATGATGTAGAAACATCTGGAAACCCATATATAACAAGTGAACACTGGCCCCTACCTCACACCACACATCAATATTATTTCAACAAGGATCAGAAGAATTAATATAAAAGTCATAAAGTCTCTACAAATGAACACAAGAAAAATCCCTATAATCTTAGGGTGGCAAATATTTCTTAGGCATTATCTTAAAGAATGAATACTATAAACAGAGCGAGTTCCAGGACAGGCTACAAAGCTACACAGAGAAACCCTGTCTCAAAAAAAAAAAAAAAAAAAAAAAAAAAATGAATACTAGAAGAAAAAGATCAATAAGTTGAACTTCTCTTTTTTTTCTTTCTCAGAGCTGAGGACCAAACCCAGGGCCTTGCACTTGCTAGGCAAGTGCTCTATCACTGAGCTAAATCTCCAACCCCAATAAGTCGGACTTCTTAAGAGCTTCAGCTTTGATTTCCTTCAAGAGTTGAGGAAATAAAGCCAGGTGTGGCAGCACACAACTGTAATCCCAGCACTTGGCAAATGATGGCAGAGGATCAGGAATTCAAGATCAGCCTCATGAGACTGTCTCAAAACAAACAAACAAAAAAACCAGAAGGGTGGGAGGAAGAGGAGAGAGGCAGAAAAAGACAGCGTGTGTAAGCCAGGGAGACAGCTCATGGTGAGCACACAGCTGCAGGGTGCATGGCTACAGCATCCCCCTTTTACAGGAGTGACTCCTGTACTCTAGCTGAAGCCTCTCCTGTGACCAGGTGACTTGGGAATAGTCAGCTGACATAAAGAGGCTCAGCTTGCAGGACCCAACCTCGCACAACGAATGGATACCTCCACGGCTGCAGACTGCAGTACCGCATTGTGAGGGAAAATAGTCATGTTTGTCACTTTCCTCACTGCTTGCAGACTCTCACTCCCTAAATGATGGTGGTAATGCTGACATAGGCTAATGCAGGCTTTAGACTTCATTTACTTTTAATGAACTCCAAACTCCACTTAACTCTGACAGCTCAAAAGTCCATGTTTTTGAAATGACAGATATGTCAGAGAGGCCTTGCAGTTACAAAATGATAGGACCCTTACAATGGAATCAAAACATCAGCCCCAGAGCAGAGACAAAGACAGACAGACAAGGACTGCCAAGCACAATGATGAACAAGGACACCCCAGTTCTCAGAACAGGGGATTGTATGACACCTCCTATCCCTGAGAAGCACTGTCTGATGGCCACCTACTTCCTTAAAGCAGGACTGAACTTGGCAACTGAAAAACCAAATCACAAAATGACCTAGGTTTCTAGAATCCTGCATGTCTCCTCATGTAATCATAGTCCCTGAGTGACAGCTAACTCCAAAGTTTTGCTGGCTTTCAGTCCATAAAGTGCTTGGGACCCCTAAAGGGTGACCGGGGGTTACAGCACAGGGTGGGAGCAAATAAACAGTTGACTGACCATACCTTATCTATTTCAGAGAAAGGATTGACCACAGTCTTTGCTGACCTGGGTTGTGAGCCCCACCACATAGTCCAGCCAGCCTCATGATTTACAGCAGGGCCCAGGGCCATACGGAATAAGCCCAACCTCTGAGAGACAGAGGGCTCCATGGGTTGGGGGTTGTCAGCCGTGCTCTCTTTACCAACAGCCAATAAAACCCCTGGTCATTAAGACTCAATGAGCACCTGGTCAGAAGGACCCTATGTGTGTCCCATGGACGGCTAGAGCTGGGATTTGTGGTGAATGGCAGGAAACTTGCCTGGCTCACCAGGACCCTACCCTTCAGCTTCTTCCCTTGGAGAATTATAATTCATAATGAATTTCATAATGAACTTCGGGTGAGTGTGAATGGCTTTGCTGGATTCTGAGCACCAGGCTGGGCAGTGGCAAAAACAGATGCAAGGAGAGGAACAATGCACCCAGAGATGGCCAGAGAACCTGCCATGAGCCCAGGAAGAGGAACATTGCACAGATATAGCCCACTGTCATGATTCTAGGGAATTCATTATGAAATTAAATATTTGTTCTTTCTATATTTTAAGTTTTAAAATGGCTTTTAGAAGGAGGTACTGGGTATACTTCTCACAGGAGTGACTGACACTGGTAGTGTGCTTAATACCTTACTTACCTTAGTAGGTGAAGCCAGAAGTTGACATATTTCATCAGCTTTTACCCTCATCTAGGGAGTAGGCTGGGTCCTGACCATCAGACAGTCCTAGACAGGTCCCCAGAGTTCCAAAACAGGTCCCTCTTATCTCAGGAGAGGGACCTCCTGAGTCCTGTTCCCCCCTCAGGAACCCTAAGTGGTAAATAGTGATGTCTTATGGTAGTTTGAATGAGAATGGCCCCCATAGGCTCAAAGATTTGAATGCCTGGTCACCAGGAAGTGACACTATTTGAAAGGATTAGGAGATGTGGCCTTTTGGGAGTAGATGTGGCCTTGTTGGAGGAAGTATGTCACTGAGTGTGGGCTTTGAGGTTTCAAGAGCCCAAGCCAGGCCCAGTGGCTCTCTCTTCCTGCTGCCTGAGGATCTGGATATAGAACTCTCAGCTACTTCTCCAGCAACATGTCTGCCTATATGCTGCCACGTTCCCTGCCATGATGACAATGGATGACACCTCTGAAACTGTAAGCAAGCCCCAATTAAATGCTTTCCTTTATAAAAGTTGTCATGGTCATGGGGTCTCTTCATAGCAACAGAACAGTGACTAGGACATGTCCCCACAACTCGTATCAATTCCCATGTAGCAGCCAGCTCTCATGCCAGTCTCTACAGTTCCAGTCTGCAGGGAGACCATGGCAATGCCATACCCATCCTGTTCAGCCACCATGGCGGATACTCCTGTACCATCTGCAAAGCAGCACTGTTTCCTGGACCCACCCTCCACTCAGTCTGGGGCCTGGTCTGGTGTAGCCATTCTATTCTTAGGTCCTAAACCCATCAATAGAGGCTCACACCACACTGAATGAGTCATTGAGTCCCAGCTGCCTATAGGATGTAGACATGGCCTGTCCCATGATCAATGCCAACCAAAGGAGAGAGAGTACCCTTTAATTTCCCATTCTATCTTTTGATTTAGAAGCCATTTTCAAAGGCTGGAGAGATGGCACATTGGTTATGAGCATGTATTGTTCTTGCAGAGAACAGAGAACCCAAGTTCAGTGCCCAGCACCAAGGTCAGGCAGATGACAACTGCCTATTACTCTAGTTCAGAAAACCTGAAGGGCCTCTACAGGCACAGCACTCATGTGCACAAACCCACACTCATACATACACACATAAAAAACACATTTTTAAAAGCTGTTTTCATGTTCAATTTATGGAAGTGGATGAAGTCCTGAATGAATATGTATTATTTCTGTTCTGTTTGTTGAAACAGAGTCTCTCTATGTAGCTCTGGTTGTTCTGAAACTCATTTTGCAAATCAGGCTAGCCTCAAACTTATAGAGATCTACCTGCTTCTTTCTCTTAAGTTCTGGGATTAAAGGTATGTGCCAATATGCCCAGCCTCAATATGTATTACTGGCATGAGCATGGCCATATCTAGGACCCTAATGCTTCAGACCCACTGGAATGGCAAAACCTTTCTCTGGTGCAAATACAGATGTTACCAAAATTGACCTTCAGCTTAAACTGGTGTATGCAGAGACTATCAACCACAGCTTCCTCTTTCCTGATGACTGTTCCCCTACAGCACCCTCCCTTACTGAGATTAGTTGTATATAATAAACCTGTCTCTTTGTTTAGCTGTATAAAATAACACACCTCCTTGCTCAGTAGCATATAATAAACACGCTGAGTTTCTGGGCTGCTGGTATGTTTCCTTAGAGCACGTGGGCCACTCAATCCCAGCTTCTCTGTGCGTGTGTGCCTGTCATTTCTTCATTCCTCATCACTTGTCAGTCATCCAGGCTGTGCTGGTCACAGCAAACACCATTGCAAGGAGGTGCTGGATCCATAGTCCAAAACGATTTTCTGAATCATCTTGTGTGGACAGCCTTGCTGCTCTGATGGAGCTGTTAATAGCCAGAGAAGTAACACCAGGACCACTTAGCTGGTGAGGGTGACACTGTAGCAGACAGGTGGAACATGGTACAGAAGACACGCTGGTGCAATGGCCAATGTGTGTGTGTGTGTGTGTGTGTGTGTGTGTGTTTGCATGTCAGCTGGGTCTTGGCCAGGGGCAGAGACCACATCTCAGGAAGGTGGAACACCCGTTCCTGTATTTTCCCACATAGGACTGGGTCCCCAAAGCTATCACCTGTCTACCAGGATCTGGACTCAATTTCCACCTCCTACTCAGACCTAGGCTCAGTTTCTACCTCCCCACTAGGACCTGGGCTCAGTCTCTCCAGAGGTTAGGCAGGAAGGGACATTTATCTGCTCCCTGGGGAGAACCATGCAGCATGGTGCTGGGGACTCTGGGTCTTCAGTCCACCAGGGAGATGAGCTCTGAGACAGGCCCCACAATGCTATGCAGGACACAGTAGAATGCAGCACATGATGTCTAACATTGCATTAGAACTATCATTTAGTCTTTCTTGTTTTTATTGTCTTTATTTTGTGGAGCTAGGGATTCTAGGGCCTCATGCATAAGCACTCACCACTGTGATTCTCCCCAGCCAACATCACTTAATCTTAAGTTGTTAGGTCCCTTCAAAAAAGGTCATGGAGAAGTCGGGCATGGTATCACACACCTTTAATCCTAGCACTCGGGAGGTAGAGGCAGGCAGATCTCTGTGCATTCAAGGACAGCCAGGATAGCCAGGGCTGTTACACAGAGAAACCCTGTCTCAAAACAAAACAAACAAAAGGTATTGAACAGGAGCATGCAACAGAATCTGGTGAGACTCTGCACTCCAACTCCAATTTGATACCCCTAGAAGCCTGGCCCTGCCAGTCACTTGCAGTAACACTGGGCAACTGAGTAATAAAGCTGGCCTCTGGGTGTTATGTCTAGCAGGTAGACTTGGACAAACCTAGAACTAAGACCAAAAGATGTAGAGTAGGTGTTCTATAAATGTAGTATTGCCTGGAGTAAAGTCCACCTCACTCACAGTATATGCGTGTGTGTGTGTGTGTGTGTGTGTGTGTGTGTGTGTGTGTGTGTGAAAGAGGAGAGAGAGAGAGAGAGAGAGAGAGAGAGAGAGAGAGAGAGAGCGCATGCGTGTGTACATACATGCTTGTGGATAAGGGTGCATGCAGAAATCAGAGATTGGTGTCAGTATGATTTTTTTATTGCTTCCTCACTGTAGGTTTTGGGAGAGGGAGAGAATGTGTGTGTGTGAGAGAAGAGAGTGTGTG